TTCCACCCATTGCTTCTTGTTCTGCCCTCAGGTGCCTTGGAGAATAGCTTGACTCCCTCTTCTTTGTGGCAACCCCTGAGATATTGGAACACTGCTATCTTGCCTACCCCTAGTCCTTCTTTTCTTTTTCATTAATCTAGATGGTAGTCTCAATTAGCATGTACAGGTAATCCTTGACTTACAACCGTCGTTTGATGACTATTCGAAGTTACAAAGGCATTGAAAAAAATGACTGACAACTGTTTTTCAAACAACCATTACAAACATCCCTATGGTCACATGATTAAAATTAAACAGCTTAGCAATAGACTCATATTTACGATACTTGCAGTGTCCCAGGATCATGTGATCACCTTTTGCAATCTGTCACTAAGGAAGCCAAATTCACTTAACAACCATGTTACTAACTTAACAACTGCAGTGATTTACTTAACAATTATGGCAAGAAAGATACTAACATGGGGCAAATTCAATTAACAACAGTCTCGCTTAGCAACAGAAATTTTGGGGTCAATTGTGATTGTAAACCGAGCGTATTTCTTTATGATGAAAGAAGCAATACTCTCCACTGCCACTTAAACTTTAGTCCTGGTTTAACACTTAAGCATTGTTAAGAGAGATCAGTTCTACTACAAATTTATGTAAGATGTAACACATTGTATAGCACGAAACAGTTAATGCTGATATAAATTTCCTAAATAAAAGAAAAGAAATAAATAAAATAAAACTTCTCTTTAAAAATAAATCTTATTATGAAATTCTCCTGCTATTTACTCCAAGGCACTGTTCCAGGAAACTGAAATATTATTTTAATGATTTCTAACTTGGTATGGTGCAATGGTGAAGGAGATGAACTAGCATTGTAGTGACTATATTTTAGGTCCATCCATGTGAGTTCACTGAGGAACTTCCAGCCAGTCATTTTTTCTCTGCTTAACTTACCCCACAGGATTGTTTTATATCCTTGACAAAAGGTATAATAATAAAAGGAATGAATGAACGAACATTGCCATTTTTAAATCTTTAAGTCTTAAGTCTATTCCATTTTTCTTTATAGGTAAGTGTTTTTGTCTCAACCATTAATTTATTTTAAGATAACTTCAAAAATAAAACTCCAGCAGTTTGAAGTTGCTAAACAAAACTTAATCAGTAAACATACGTCTCTTAGGCCTAAATATATTAAGATTATGTTACTTATTTGTGACACTGTGAATGATTACTATACCTATCTGGAATACTTTTAACTTCTACTTTAAATTGTTGAACTCCTCGACTGTTTCGTATGTGAGAAAAAGAAAGATATCTGCCAACTATCATGTATTATGTTATCCTAGATTTCTTCAAAAAAGTGACAGTAACATAAGTAATAGTAAAAACTATCATAATGTAATGAAGTGAATATAAAAGCATATGCAGCAATAACACAGGACAAACGTTAATACTGCAAGTTGTTGCTATTGTTTCCAGGAGGATTATGGAAAAATATTTTGTAATAATAATGCATTCATTCTTACCTCTTGTGCTAATCTGAAGGCACAACCATCTCCATCATTATTGCGGCACCACACTTTAATTCCTGTATTAATAACCTATTTGGGGTTTTAAAAAGTAGAATATTTCAGCATACTTAAGCATTAAGCATTATAATACCAATCAGTAATTTGAAGCAGTTTGGCAGGAGTCAGCACCAACAATGATGGAACAATATATCAATATATATCAATCTCTATCTATCTCTATCTATCTATCTATCTATCTATCTATCTATCTATCTATCTATCTATCTATCTATCTATGATAGATAGATGATAGATAGATACAGACAGACTGACAGACAGATAGAGTGAGCATTTAATAATTCCATTAATCACATAAGGATTATATTCAATAAGTATTCAATATTATATTAAATATATATATTGAATATAATATATATTGAAATACACAGAGAAAGGTATGAAGCCTCAAAGTAAAAACTCAAAAGGGCATAATTGGTACTAATGATCCATTTAGGGTCTAGATTTAGGAAGCTACTTAGAGGAAAAAGGACTCAGGAAGGCATGCAAACTAAATGCTAGTAGCTATCCTCAAGAAATGTAAATCAAAAACTCCAACAGGAGAAAGGGCTGCTGAGAGAAAAACTGCTTAAGTTTATTGCAAAGACTAGTTAGTCTGAGTGGAGTTCTATAAGTCTAAGAGAAGAACCTGCTTCATCTTCCATTTTACTGAGGAAAAAAATTGACATTTTCACATAAACGTAAGCCTATTTTCCCACCACCCCAAATTGGTCTTGTGGCCTGGCAAGAAATACCGTATTTTTCAGAGTATAAGATGCACCAAGGTTTTGAAGAGGGAATTTTTTTAAAAAAGTAGGGAGGGAGAGGGAGAGGGAGGGAGGGAGAGAAAGAGAAATACAGTAGATAGGTAGGGAGAGACAGTAGGTAGGTAGGTAGNATGACATCTCCTGGTGAGTGACATCAAGTTGGCCACTCCCACCCAGTCACATGATCGGCAAGACACTCTCATCCCGGTCACATGATCGCTGAGCCACTCCCACAAAACAGGCCACTCCTACAGAATAGGTTCTTAAAAAAATTGAAACCCACCACTGATCTGTACATCCTTTCACACATTTGTATAAACTGAACACAGAGGTCACTTACCTTTGGTCTGGTTCATATTTTAAGACTATGCTCCCCATAGCTGAAACAAACAGAATACAATGTTTTAAAACCAGAGATTATTACAAATACAAATGACATTAACCTTTAACGATCCAACCTATGGCCCACAGTTATTCTCCATATAGTTTGCTGAACTCTACCATCTTTTCTATCAAAGCAGATGTTGTTAGGAAATTATTAATATTCTTGAGCTGCTATTAAAAATGTTTAGATAGTGATCTTCAGCAGATAGAGGAATCTTTAAATTTCACTAGCTCTCATTCACATAGTTTTAACTTGATTACTGGGTTATCTTTAGTACCGAAAGTAACTTTGGGCTCAACATTAGTCTCTGAGGCATTCTTAGAAAATAAAAATCATGGATGGCAACAATCTACAAGTCATTTAGGCCAAGTGAAAACACAAACAGTAAAGATAGCAAAAAGGATTTCAGAGGGATTCAAGAGTTACCTTCTGACAAATGGGTATAAATGAATAGTGGCCATCAGCTTTGACCATTAATATAAAAAAAGGTAACCAGCTGGAAATCAACTTCTCTAAAACTAAATAAACAACGTAAATCAAATCTTGAATCTCAAGTAACTACTGGTACTAGTTAGCAAGAATGCTCACTTACCCATTCCATTCAGTTGACTGCGTGATTCATTACTGAACCTGCTTAAGAATGGATTTTCTTCAGTTAACAAAATTTTAATATCTTCTATGCCAGCCTTAATAGTTCTGGCACTGATGAAAGGATGCAATGTATATATGCCCTAGAAGTGAAAGACATGATTTTTAAAATGCAGCCATTTCTTTCAAAATTCAAAACAGAAATCTATTTTTTAAGAAAAGATTTTCAGATAATAAGAGACTGGAACTTCCAACACTTTCTGGCTGTGTAATACAATAGTATGGAACAAAATATACAGAGAATTAATCAAATACATCAACTGTATAGTCTTCTAACCATACAATGTTAATTAAAATATCCTCAAACATTACTTTCATGTTACACATATACATACATACATATAAGCAAGCATGTATGCATAAATTTGCCTAAACAAGTCCCGGCAGTTTCCTGGCAAAGTTTTTTTTTTTCAGAAGTGGTTTTGGCACTGCTTTCTTCTTAGGGTTGAAAGACAGTGATGGCCTAATGCCACCCACTCACATCTAAGTTAGGACTACAACTGACAGTCTCCTGGTTTCTAGCCAATGCCATAAACACTGAAATGAAGATACTTTTAAAAATCTAACATAGAAACCCCAAGAGATTGCCATTCTATTCCAACAATCCTACTACCTCAATAAAAATATATAGCAATTTAGGCCGAGATACAATACAATACAATACAATACAATACAATACAANACAATCCGGGTCCTCATTTTACCCACCTCGGAAGGATGGAAGGCTGAGTCAACCCTGAGCCGGTGAGATTTGAACAGCCGAACTGCAGAAATGCAATCAGCTGAAGTGGCCTGCAGTGCTGCATTTAACCACTGCGCCACCTCGGCTCTTGCTATGTCTCCTGGGCGTCATTAAATGTAGGTCTGTAGCTGATGGCACCTATCCTCCCCCCCCCCACCAGATCTAATGGGGTGGGCTGATGTAATCAGGGAGAGGTGGTCCCTCAGACAGCTTGATCCTATGCCATGAAGGATTTAACAAATCAAACCAGCATCTTGAATTGGATTTGGAAGCAAACTGGTAACCAATGAAGCGTACAGATGGGTAATATGTGCTATTCTAGGGTGCAGGTTACTGTCCATGCTGCTGCACTCTGTACCAGCTGAAGCTTTTCAAGGGCTGCCTCATGTAGAGCGCACTTCAACAGTCCAATTTGAAGGAAACTAAGGCATGTGTTATTATAAGGAGATCAGGGCCACATTCTTGCACTCTGTTGTTTCTTATGCCCAAAGCAATTTGAGTTGAGCAAAGATTCAGTCAACACACCAAAGTCAGTGATAAAGACTGACTTTTTCTATATGTGATCGGAAAACAAATTATGGTATTCATATGTCTATTCACAACACACAATAGGCCACAAATTTCTCAACAGGGCTTTGCATTTGCTTCCTTTTCCTACTGTACACATCAAGGGCACCACTCCCAACTATTGTCAGGAAGAGTGCTAATTTCTGTTGGGTTCCCTCTTTATGGCATCCAGTCGCTCTCAAGCACAGAAGAAATGCTTTGTTGAAAGGGCTGCCTTTGGCCTTCCACGATGCCAGTTAAGCTTCTGTTCTGATGCAAGCTTCAAAGCAGCCTTTCTTTCTCTGCAGCTGTCACCAGTCAGCTAACACCAAAGAGGGCATATTCTCTGTGGGTAGCTCAGCATTAGTACAATTGACTTGTGGTTTGACTGTACAGTAATACTCAGATGTACTTCTTTTAATAAGCTAACAGGAGAATTTTGTTTTGCTGGGCCCAAACTGTGTGTCTCTATTATGTCATGATTACTGCATGGAAATTCAGATTCACTTCTAACATTATGTGTTGTTCATTTATGAAGAGCCAGTATCAGAAGAGAAGATCTGACTGTTAAAATCAGCTTAAACTCAACTCTGACCTGGAACAAAAAAGTATTTGGCATACAGCTTTTGCAGTATTTGCAAAGACCAGACCACTTCTCCCCCTAACATAGGTAAGGTTCCACTTTTGATATATAGCAATGCCTTCATATGATTTAATTATGGTGAAATGTATGCAAAACTAGTACAATAAATCCTTCCAAGCAATACAGTAGTGATTGTTGATAAGACAATAATCAGCACTGCTATTGTGAATACATATTCTGCACATATTCAAGCATTCATATTATTTTTTCAAACTTAAGACCATTTCCATTTCCTTGTTACTTTAGTATTTACATTGCAACTTCAACCTTTCCCAGAATCCCATTTTTTTCTGAAATTGACAGCTATCTGATGAAATGATCTCAGACCTACAAAAGTCCAGGTCATAATTAACCTCTTAGCCTTTAAGATGCTATAGGTTTCTTTGCTTTTTTGCTGCAACATAAGCCAAAGGAAAAAACACCCTTGACTAATTATGGTTTAGGAATAGCACTTAACAGATAAAACATCGTATGTATATTACAATAAAGGGAAGGAGAAAGTATGAAACAGGGATGCCCTCCATGAGGAAAAATAATCTACATAGGGGATTGTTTTTTTCTGCATAAAGAAGAAAAACAATACAAAGTACTAGTTTCTTTTCTGGAAACAGAATCCCTGTTTTTTAAGTCCTATTCCTTATATAAGGCTTAAAAATCTAGCCTGACTAGACAAGGAAATCATATTTGGTTCTAGATTAAATCTGCCTTTTTTTTGCTTAAATATATATCCAAGGGCTCAGAATGCCCAATGGATTTATTTGTGGTGAATTTTCTATAGATGGTTTCTCATCTCTCTCCTTCCTAACTTCAATATTCAACTATGATCCAGTTTCAAAAGCAATTTCATGTGAAGCATGCTATTTGAAATCCATAATTATTCCATGGTATTTCTAAACTCTTATCCTTTTAAAACATACTAGAAAATGTTTTTAATAATACTAAACATTACCTTGGGCTGACGTCTGTTCCATGGCATAGGTGATTTTTTAATTAATACAGCAATGAAGAAACCTCCAGTATTCTGGTGATGTGGTAAAATTCTAAAACTAGATAAGCAACATGGATTTTGTATCAATAGGTATATTCTTGAGCTCTACTTAAATCTGCGATCAGAAAATGATTAAAAAAACCTTTAAACATTATCAAATTTTTGCATTTTGTACAACCAATTTGCTTGCTTTAGTTATGTATCTTATTAAAGAGGACTCAGGATCTGAAACTTAGTAATTACAGCTGACCATCCCAGAACAGCTTCATTCAGTAAGCATGGTCCCTGTATTTCTTTGCAATAGCACAACCTAGATTTCAAGGGCACTGTGAGTACTGCTCAAATAATTAAACATCTCTCATCTACACTAAACTGAGGACGGATCTTTGGGTATGGCATAATGAATTACCATCAATTCTACTGAGATATTCAAAATTCCCTGATCTGAATGAGTTATGCTTCAGAGGAGACAAAAACAAGATATCATGTACAACTGTATGATATTGTTGTATTTTAGAATACAAGAGTATACAGAGTATAATTCAGAGTATACAGGAGACCAAATAACTATTGTATCAGCCTCCTATTTACCAATGTTGACATTATTAGTACTATTGCTAAATTCTATATTGTCATGGCAAAAATATGCTATCAAGTATTATATCTTTATTGGGTTGCTAAGCAGTTTAATGTGGATAATTGTTTGCAGTACTAATAAAGAATTTGGAAATTGCTGGAGAAAAGTAGTATGTAAAATATTGGATCCTATTCCACCCAACTTGTTAAAAAAATTCTAACTTTTTGCATTCTTTTTGGTGAAACATCTCAATGAATATCTTTGAAGGAGGATGGGAAGTAGGTGCTCCTGATACTACAGGACTTCATTAAACCCTTAAAATGTATCTATAGATCTTATTTCTTTTAACTGTACATGTTTCCCACTTGAACACATACTTGGCAACGTTAAAGTGAAGTTGAATTCAACACCACCTTATAAATATGATTATGACGTTACATACCAGCGCTCCAAATGTAACGCTTTAAGTTTTTGTTCATCTTTTAAAGGGAACATTGTGGGGCGGATCTGCGTATGCTTATTAGGAGGTACCTCTTTCCAGTCTTCAAACCAATTACCATCTTTGGTCATTACCTAGGTGGGAAAATACAATGTCTTTCAAATCTTACTATTAATATGCTCGGTTCCACCACAAAACCGCGCTCGACTAAAGCGCGCNACAGTCACAGCTTGCAATTCTGTCCACGGAACAGGAAAAGAAGGCATGGAAATCAATACACCCGGGACATCGGAAGAAGCCATGCGAGGAGACGCTGCTGGCAAAGTGCAGGAAATCCCACCCCCACCTGCAGATCGTCCTTTCAAAGAGGAGTTTCACCAGGATGAAGGCGACACACAAACGCCGCTTTTAGCCACCTCTTCGTCCTGGTGAAACTCCTCTTTGAAAGGACGATCTGCAGGTTGGGGGGGGACGGGGGGGGGGAGATTTCCTGCACTTCGGCAGCAGCGTCTCCTCGCAGGGCTTCTTCCGATGTCCCAAGTGGATTTTAATGCCTACAGGAGGTCAGTTCTCACCTGCATATTCACATTGAAAGCTCGAAATGGGGCGTTTTTGCAAATGGCTTGGAAAATGGGGAGGGAGATATTCCTGCCTCTCCCCCTGTTCTGAAGGACAGCACAGACTGAGAACAGGATAAGAGACGAAATCCCCCCTCCCCATTTTCAAGAGGTTTGACAAACGCCACATTCCAAGCCTTCACATTATCCAGGATTGAAGGGATGAGGGAGGGAGGATTTTGTCTCTTATCCTGTTTTCAATCTGTGACCTTCAGAACAGGGGGAGAAGCAGGAATATCCCCCTCCATATTTTCAAACGGTTTGCAAAACGTTCCATTTCGAGCTTTCAGCATATTCCAGGATTGCAGGATTGAAGGCTCGGAATGAGGCATTTTTGCGAACCACTTGAAAATGGGGAGGGGATATTTTCCTTCCTCTTACCCTGTTCTGAAGCTCAGAACAGGCTCAGAACAGGATAAGAGACAAAATCCCCCCCCCCTTTTTTTCCTGGCAATCGTTCTTTCCTTGGGATCTCAGCGCAGACGCACATCCCCCAAATGCTCTATCCAAAGCCTTCTATGCGTCTGTGCAGAGTTCCCAAGGAATGTGTGTGTGAGAAAAAGAGATCCCTACCCACTCACACACCCCCAAGGCAGCCACATCCCTCCACTAACCTGCTTTCCTGCTCCATTCTCCACTACCATGTGCAGGGCAAGAAAAGTAGTTTGTGGGACTACTTCCAACTTCGCGAGATTATTATTATTTTTTTTGCAAGAACTTGGAAGGTATTTTCGGGTATTTTTTTTACCATAGGCACAGTGTCTACTTTTCTTGTCCTGCACGTGGAGCGGAGAATGGAGCTGGAAAGCAAGTTAGTGAAGGGATGTGGCTGCCTTAGAGGGGGAGTGTGTCTGTGTGTGTTCGTTCGCTCTGCCAGGAAGAGCCCCCCCCTCCCCTGCGAGGCCAGAGCAGCACAGTCAGCTGGTTCCGTGGCCAGCAACCAGGCAGGCGAAGGCCAGGATGAAAAGAGAACTTGGGTCATTGTGGCCGCAGGCAAGCAGATGGTGGGACGGAGAGGGGGGGGGCTGGTGGGCTTGCTGCTTCCTGCACCTGAAAAATAGTAAGCTCTCCCCCTCTAATAAGCCCAAGGCCATATTTCGTGGGTCAAAAAAATATAAGACCGTGTCTTATTTTCGGAGAAACACGGAATGGGGACCAAATCATCATGAAAACTGTGTAACAGATGTTGCAGTCTTACATACATGGAATGCACTAGCTTTTGCTAGCTAGATAAATCTAACAATAGGTTTATCCAAATAGAAGCTCTTATCTGATACATATTCTCCAAGCTTTTTCTCAGAACAAATAATGCTTTTTTATTAGAAGAAAGGCACCTCTGGATACAGAGCTATGATTTTAAAAAAATCTTTCAGAAATATTCACTTAGATGTTTAAAATTTTGTATCATCCCTTAGGATTAAAAGCACAAATTATGCATTTTAAAAATATTGGCTTATGGCATTTCATTTGTATATTTGTCCTTTATTATGTTTTTTACTTTTAATGTTTTATTGATGCTCTGTTTATTTAAAAAAATCCTCCTAGGAATCACCCAGTCAACAGACTGAATCTTATATGAAATAATTAAAAACAGTAGGACTATGGGGAGATTTTGATTTAATATATATTAAAAGATAATCAAGGCATCTTTAGATTTCAACCATATCCACATATATCTTTAGAATTTACTTTAGTTTCCAACAGACTATCCACTTATTTATTAGATTTCTACTTGCCTTTCATTCTAGGAGTTCAAGAAGGCATATATATTACGCCTTCCTATTTTTTCCAACAACCATCTTGTGAGGTAGATTTGACTGGTCCAACATCACCCAATTAAACATTTCATATAGAAATATTTTATGTTCCATTCCACTCTATTTTCTTCAATATGTTAAATGACATTCATAAGCTCTAGAATTTAGTAAGCAAACTAGTATACAGAAAATATAAATGCATCTTACTGAATAGGAGGAAACAAAGGATCGTCTGTGGGAAGAAAAACAAATGGATCTTCTTTGTATCCAAAAAGCTTCATTTTTTTAGATGGTGGAGGTCTGCAAGAAAAACAGAAATCCCCATAGCTTACCATTATTCTGGTATTATTAAATAACTTTCTTCCCCCACCTCTGCAATTTCCAAACATTATCACTTATTTCAATCAATAGAGGCTAACCTGTATACTCCATAGTAAACATACATGGAAAAGCCTTAGTATATTGAAGTGGCAAGATTCAGCAGATTTTAATTGTAACGTTTTTGTTATTATTGCTATTCAGAATGGTAACTGCCAATAATATACACTTTCAACAACGTAACTACATCTTTTTTCATGGTCAGCAGTCTATTACCATGGAATTTCCTAGGGATTCCTAGGAAATGCAGAACAAAACAGCCTTTTAACATTGAGATTAGTTAGAATTGCTATAGATTTTTCTATTATAACATGGCTTTCACATAACACTGAGTTCTTAAATGCATTACATAAGATCTGTTTATTCAATTTGTGTGAGTCACTTCATCCAAAGTTCTTTGAACTATATGGTTAACTGTTGTGGCCCAGCAGGAGCCGTTGGAGCTGCCACCAGACTCCGACAGCGAGGGGCCCTATGAGTCGGCTCTGGAGGACCCTGGACAGGGTGCCGACTCCGAGCAGGGTGCAGAGAGGCTGGTTGGCCACCAGGAGGCGCCTGAGCCTTGGACCAGTGGGGAGGAGACAAGGGAGTGTGACCACAACGTCAGCAGTGAGTTGTTCCTGGATGCCTGGCACTGAAGAACTAATAGGCGTCAGGAACAGTTGTGCAGTTACAGGAGATAATTGCACTCAGCTGGTGGTCAATTAGGCTCCTCTCAAGACTATAAAGGACTGCTTGTGCACACGCCCCTCTTGCAGAAGTCAACGCAGGAACTAATGTTGGAGAACATGATTGTGAGCTTGACAGGCTGGATTGATGCCAGGGCTTTGTGCCGGTTTGCTGCCAAGGACCTGTCTGTCTGTTAATTAAATGCCGTAACTTATC